CCTTTAACAAATGCGTGCCGAGTATGGAAAGTTGAGCACAAATGCTCCAGGGACTGTTAATGATGACTATGATGATGATAATGAGCATTATTATTATTTAAATCCTTTGTTTGAACAGACTGAGATCTCTTTTTCAAGAGAGGCGGGTGTACAGAAATCACACACACAAACCGATACCGACAGCCACACAATGAAACGACACATTACAAATAAAACATGTGTAAGGGTAGTTGCAGATAAATAAATATAACCTTTTGAGATGTTTCAGTGAAATCCGAGAATGTAGCTACAGAGTTTGTTTTTGCAGCTCATTCAATCCATTTACAGGCAACAAAGTATTCAAAGATGAAATCATTGATTAAGTCACGTTGCCGTGGTAAGTGTGTGTTTCAGCTGTGTTGTGTTAAGGCTTCGGCTGTTGTGAATGTGTGATGTGTTTCTGTGGCTCAGAAAATATTGACCGAGACTCCTGCAGCATTTAATGTCTTCTGGCCGGTGTTCAGCTTCCAGGTTCGTTGTTGACGTGTTAATTAAAGTTGCGTTCCTCTGCCTAAGAATGCGTATAAGTAATCTTAACTTTCTGAACTAAATGAATTGTGGTTTTCATAATCGCATTTCTTTTACAAAATATCGCGAGCTGGCTAAAAGCAAAAGGTTCCATATTTTGTTCCTCTGCAGAACTCATTAGTGTAATCTGGGTGTTTGTTTTACATTCGAGGCTTTGGCTTGTGTGGCATTTTTGTGAGTGTGTGCAGAACAAAGACGTCACCCCGTCTGCTCCACATGTTCTTATATATGCTGCGCACAGATCTCCCCCCCAGCCTGGGCAGTAAAACACATCTATAACCTTCACAGCTACCGTACAAAAAACACTAACTGTCCCTCTTTCTCCAGCTGCATTCACTTTACTCTCACCTGCTGCTATACGCTAGTCTGTCGCTCAGTCGCAGACATTTTTTTTGATCTCTTGCCTCATTTCTTTTGTGTTTACAGCTCTCTGAGCTGCTCTGACTTTATCAGATATGTTTGGTAGTATTTCATTAAACTCAGCAGCGAGGGAGTGGGAAAGTCCACTCTGGTAGAATTTGAGTCTCATATTAGTGGTTTTGGCCTTCATTTCTGTAACACAGCATTTCTTAAGTTAATTGCTGAGATCCGTAATCTGCAAAGGAAATTAAACACGCAAAGAAACAGAAGCAATCAGATGATAATCAAGGTGTTACACAAACCCACCGGTTAACCTGATCTGTGTGGGAATCTCTCCATCTATCATTCCTTATCTTGAAAGTGTTTTTGCCTTGTTGGCCCATTTAATAACCTCCTTTTCCCCCCTCCATCCCTTATGAGGAGATTCGCCCCTCGCCCTGTGCTCACAGTATACCACTCCTTACAATTACACACAAATTATCCTCCAGAACCATGAAACACCAGAGAGCACGTCGCCTTCTCTCTTCTGCTTTTCCCCTCCAACCGTCTCCGCTTTCCTCCCCTCTCCGTTCGGTCCATTGTCTTTGCTGACATCCTTACACACCCTAGACTTCTTTTTTTTAGAGCAGAATCCACTCCTACCGTCTTACATTCTTTCTTTTTACATTCCTTTTCCCTTTTTTTCTGTACTGTAGCATCCCACGTCTGCACACTACACCCTGTGCACATGTGTGTTTGTTTATGGGGCTGTTGTCCGTTTAATGTTTGCAGGCGAACACATATGCCCTGCGACATGGAGCATATCCAGTTTAAACCAGGGCTCTGCTTGTTTATGTGCAGCAGAAATATTTACAACCAGAACCAACCGTGTTTCACACACAAATCTGGGCAGATTTGCACGGTCCCCTGAAAACATAAGGTCGCATACGTGCGCTGACCTTTAAGGAGCCCGTATTTGGTTCTAAATTCAGTGGCTGTGGCTCGACACATTCCTTTATAAGCGGCCTTAACCAAATGTGTATCATATCACCCATAAATTCTGCCAGGTTAAGTCTGTTTTTTGAGCAGCGAGGACATGCGGTAAGCCGTACCACATAAAGTTTCATGAGCTGGTTTCACACTTTGACAGAGGGGAAATACGAGACATCGCAGATGGGGGGGGGGGGTTCAGCATCAGAGAGTGCATGCTTTGATGGTTTATCCATGAGAATCTTTTACACTTTGTCGCAGAAGATGGTTCACGTGGGAAATGTTGCTCTGTGTGTGAGTCTGAACCTTAGTATTCGCTCTCCCCAGACGAGCTGCTAGGAACTTTCCAGCTGTTTGTGACAGCTGTGTGCGTGACGAGAGGTTCAGAAAAAAAAATACAAGAAAGAAAAAGAGGAACGAATCAAAGAAAGTAAGAAATGAAAGACAAGAAGATTGCAGAGCTGACAGAGATTAGAGTTCCAAGGAAATCTGAGAGCTTCGTGTGTGTGTGTGTGTGTGTGTGTGTGTGTGTGTGTGTGTGTGTGTGTGTGTGTGTGTGTGTGTGTGCACACTCCTCGGGCAGGGTGATTGTGGTTTACCACAGAAGTGACACCTGATGAAGCTGGTGGGAGTTTTAAAACCTGTTATTTAACTAAAAATGAAAACAGTGTACGAGTACGAGTAAAAGCAGAGAGATATTACTGACTAAATGCACTGCCCTGCACGTCTTTTAGATGTTGATGGTATCTGTGGTCATTGATTTATTCTCCAACGGGACAGTGATGCCAAACACAGAGCTATCTTCAGCAAAAACAAGAAAAATTTGTTCTGTAGCAGATGGTCTGGCCCTCACTGAGCCCTGGTCTCAGCGTGATGCGGTCAGTCTGGGATTGTGAGCTCTCCAACTTTAACACACTCACCAAATACCTTCAAAAGCTGTGCAAGTGTACCAAAGACAAGTGGCACTCGTTTAAAGGCAAAGGGTGTAGTTTTTTTTTTTTTTTTCATTTTTACAGCACTTTTCTGAAGGACTATTGATAAATGCAGAGTGATAAGGATTATTTTTTTAAAACAAAATATCACAGGACTGTGTTCAAAGGAAATCATTACATGGCATCTTAAAATTATGGATCTTGCTGGCAAGTAACTTATCAAACACACTTTAAAGGCTGATTCTGTTCATAACATTTATGGACAGAGATTCAAGGCACTGCCAAGTGGCATGGGCTTTTTGGTTTGGTGGCCTCAGGATCACCTCTCTTTTGGAGGATGATGTGGTTCTTTTGGCTGGATTACGTGGCGAGTCTACGCTCTCAGTTTTTCAGCCAAGTGTGAAGCGGCAGGAATGAGAACCACCTCTCCAAGTCTGGTTCTCAGCTGGAAAAGGTTTCAGTTGCAACTCCGTGAGTTGCCCCAAGTGCAGGGGTCTAAGTATCTACATTCCAACCCTCACCTATGGCCACAAGACGTGAGTAATGACCTACAGAATGAGATTGTGGATACAAATGGTGGAAATTAGCTTCTTCCGAAGGCTGTGTGGGCTCTCCTGTAGAGATAAGGTAAGGAGCTCGGGGAGAGGCTCAGAGGAGAGCGGCTACTCCTCCATTTGAAGGAGCCAGTTGAGGTTGTTTGGTCATCTGACTAGGATACCTCCTGGACACTTCCTAATTTAGGTGTTTCAGGTATGTTCTACCAGGAAGTAACCCTATTGTAGACCCAGGGCACACTGGAGAGATTATCTCAGCCTGCTCGGGAATGCCTTTGGCTCCCCCCACAGGATGAGCTGGAGGAGCTGGCAGCAAGAGGGAGGTCTGGGCATCTCTGCTTAGGTTGCTCCCTCCAAGACCCAGACCCGGATAAGCAGCAGAAAACGGATGGATTGATAGCAAAGCAAACTCTCCTCCTTTTTGACTACAGTGGGAATCATAATTTTAAAAATGAGCTTTTTGTCATATCGAGCACAACTTTAAACCAGTGGCTTAATTCCCAAAATCATCTGGAAACTATTTATTGAAGCCAAAGAGCAAGTGAGATGAAGAGTTATATGATCCCTTAGACTTCCATACAACTGGAAATCTTTTTGCAGCCAGTGGAGTCGCCCCCTGCTGGTCATTAAAAAGACTGCAGCTGTAAGACAACCTGGAAGCTACGTCAATCTTTATGTCTGGAAATGAGTAATTGCACTTATTGTGGCTACTTCCTCCTATTTATTGTCTTAATTCTAAGTAGGGCTAACTGACTTCTTATTAATTAACTTGAATCAATGAGTTAGTGGCATTTTAAAGTTATGACAAGCTAAGGCTGAGCATTTACTGTATAACCATTTTTAACCAGGCAGGTTTCTAATGTGAGCCATGGACTGAGGCCCTTTTCGTAAGGCAGTAAAGATGATAAATGTGCTACAGTGAAGAAGAAACTACAGTCTAATACAAATATTTGAATTTACTTTTTGACTCCAAATATTTTTCCTGATTAGCGCAGCATTTAATGGTTTTTCTTCTTAAAAACACTTGTGTGTGGACTACAGCAAACCTCAGCGAGTCATAGCCGCTGCAGCGTAAACCAGCAGAGTTGTGTCTGCCTGATGTCTCAGCTGTCGTTTAAGTGCATGTATGATAAAAACTGTTTCCACTATACGGCTCCACAAGGACCCTTCTTAAGCAAGCACAAGCTTGACATGTGTTCTTACACACAAGCATAGACACACACTCGTACATGTGCTCACACAGTCACTCACATTCTGTGGCCATGCACCGAAAGCCACGGTGGATTTATGTGAGCAGCCGTTTCCAAAAAATCTATTATTTCCATATGGTTCTTATACTCTCGCACACTGGCCAAAGCAGCATGGGGAGTGCTTGTGTGAGTTTTTCTCCATAACAGCATAGCGTGTTTGTGCTTACCTCTGTGATGTCAAGTTAATTCTTCCCTTCTTTATTAGCTGCTTGTCCTCAACTTTTCCTCACTCCACCCTTACTTCCCCCAGGGACTAGGAGAGAAACAGCCCTCTGTGTAATCTGTTGTCTTTCACATCAGTTCAGTTTGCGGCATTAATTGTTTTACCTCTCTCTCTCTCCGTCTGCTTTGGTGTTTCTGTCCTGCAGGTGTGCCGAGGAGGTGCGCTGGACTCCAGGGCGGAGCAGTGTGCGGCCTTTAACACCAATGAGTTCATAGGTCGATTGTACAACTGGGAACCTTTCACTGAGGGTGAGAACTGAGTCAACACACATGGTAGTTTAGTGGTGAGCTGCACAGTGCTTCAATGTTATAAAAGGCTTATTGGGGGAATTAAATGGTATGATGGGGGAGGCGGGGTTGGGGGGGGAATGTGTGTTTGAGTGAGTTAAATATGTCTCTGGTATGAGTGTGTCCCGGCTGACCTGCGCTGCTTGCCCAGCCCACCGCAATCCCTGCTCTCTGTCGTTTGAGCAGGCCAACATCTGCATGCAGCTTCGAGGGTGGTGAGAGTCAATAGAAACAGAGAATGACTGGAACCCAATCTGCTTTGATTCTTTGCACCGAACACTTTCCCTCCTCTGTTTTTCTTCTCATTTGTCCAACATCTCCCTTTCTCCCCTCCTCTCCTGCCAAGTTTCTCCTCCCAACTCTGACTAAGCACACGGATTCCTACTGGGTGAGATAAAGAAGGAGAAAGAAGGACGGGGAGAGGGAGGTGAGAGGTGATGGGATGCGAGTGTTTTGTCACATGACCGCTGGGAGCAAACGGAGACAACGTGGCTTGCGTGCGTGTGCGTGCGTGTCTTTGTTTCTTCACACAGAAGTGTGCAGCTCCGTGTGTTTGTTTACTCTTTGGTTAAGTGTGCAAAGGTTCGCAGCAGTGGAGCTTGTCTTTGTTTTCCAATGCTGGAGGCAAAGAAAGAGAAAAGGCTCAGCGGATATTTGAGGAATTTGAACGAATAGGAAGGGTGAATATTGCTTGCATGGAGCTGAGGGAATCGAGGAGGGAAAGAGAAGAGAGAAACACAGCTGTGGGATGATATCAACAGTATTTGTCATTAGAATTAGAAATATGTGCTTGAGCCTGTGTGTATTTGTGCTATTAACATATTGGCAAGAGTGCTTGTGCTCTAGATGAATAGCTTAATGGATCTCAGATAAAACAGAAACAGGAGGGGAGAAAGCGTTTGCTCATTCGTGTTTGTGTGTCCGTCTGTCTTTGCACTTGTGATTACTGGATGAGCTGGATGAACTCCTTCGACCCACACAGACACTGGGGGAAGCACAGACCCAGTAACAGTAGATCAGCAACACCACCCGGCCTGCACACAAGTACATTAGTATGACAAATTTTGTCAAAAAGAAATACACAGTTAGCACACTAGTCCAAATATAGACAGCACACACAGCTGAGAACGTCGAGTCAGTAGAGTTTATTCATTAAAGTGGAGCACGACACGCGATCGATACAGTAAAAGTTAAAGTAGCTCCAGTTAATAGATTATTTAATAGAGCAGATGAAAGCAGTTCAAAGAGTTCTCCCACTGAGTGTTTTATCAACTTCCAGCCCACTATCTTGATTTTCCATCCTGTTTAAGTTTGCTGTTATCACTCTTGTTTTTGGTCGCAGCAGGAAGCTGTTTTTAATCTTAAAGCTCCATAAACCGACTGTTTATGGAGCTGCTGAATACTGTGGAGCAGCCGTGGAATCAAAATAGGCTGCATGCACTTTTGATTGAGCAAGGACCCCTATGGCCAAAAGAAACTTCTTTTCAAGCTGGGGTCATTTAAATTTGGAGATCCATCTCTGTTCTGGGACCTCGCCATGCTTTCATGTGCGTAGCTGGGGTGGAGGTGGCTTGCAAGGTGGCTTGCAGGTTCTAAAGTACACTACATGGACAGCCCCTAATCTTGCCACAACTGTATAAAATCAAGCACCTAGCTACTCAGTCTGCTTTTACAAACATCTGTGAAGAAACGGGTTGTTTCGTAAGAGCTCACTTGATGCGAGTGTGATATTGTAATAGGATGCCACCCTCACCACAAGCCAGTTTGTGAAATTTCTTCCCTCCCAGATATTCCATAATCAGCTGTAAGTGGTATTATTGAAGAGCGAAAGCATTTAGAAACCACAGCAGAGGGGCAAACCACGTAAAGTGCTGAGGGGTAGAGCGTGTAAAAGTCACCAGTGCTCTGACTCAGTAACTCCAGCGCTCCAAACCTCCTCTGGCATTAACATCAGCACAGAAATTATATGGGTTTCCATGCCTCAATAGCTCCTGTAGGTGTAATTTGTAGGCAGCCCAGTGCTTTTGGCCATATAGCGTAACTGTAGGCAGGCTAAAAGAATTAAATAGCATGGCAGGTATGACATTTACCAATGGGATGCATGGAAGGTGTGCAGATCCCATCACTTGGCATGTTGATAAATGTATACTTTGTTGAGAAAATATGAATTTAGTGCTTTTGCTCTGACTTTCTCTTGAAACAATAAACCTCTTGAAAGGCCCGCAGACAGGAGCGGGTGGGCATGGATAAAAATCCTCCTCAGTGAACCTATTGCAGTGTTGGAAAAACCCTAGATCGGTGTGAAATGAAAAAGTAACACAGTAAAGCGTACTGTCTGAGCATAGTTTAAAAAGATAATTATGAGTTTTTGTCTGTTATTTGTAACACTCATACTTGCATACTTACTTGTACTTGCAGCCAGAAAAAATAAGCCCATAGATGGCTTCAGATCATTTTTTCCCATTACCTGAGGGAAAGGTCAGAGAGTGTGTTTCAGCTGAATGCCTTGTGTTTCCCAGGGGAATACAACATGTCAGCCATGAAGGCTGTTTAAGATTTCAGTCAGACTTCGGGAAGTTTGAGGCGGATCTACAGATTAATTCTGTGTGTTTGCACCAGAAGTCATCGGCGGGGTATCAGCTGGAGTCAAACTGTCTGCATAAACACATGGGAGCTTTCCTTTTACCCACTACCAGGTTTCTGTGCGTTTGTGAAATGGGATTGGGGGGGGGAGGGGAGAGATATCGCTGCATCCTGAATTGAGCTGCTGTGCGTCCTTGCCCTCTGCTTCACTTTGGGTTGTTTTAAACTGATGTGTCCTTGAGGTCTGCTGAGAAGAGGAGAGGGCTGGATAAGGGGGGGGGGAACAAAAGGGCAACCTCTGGTAGGGGGGAGTTTATGGGAAAATAGTCAAAAACACTCACCAAAGTCCACGCTTTGGCTGCACTATGCTGCTGTGCTTTGGGGGGCAGATGCTGTTGCCTGGTGACGTCACACTCGATCAGCACCGGAGATGATCCTTTCCCACTCCGCTAAGTAAACTCTATCACATTGTTTACTTCAGTCCGGTCCCATTGGCCACAGCCCAGATTTTCATATCTGGCTTCCTATCAACATGCTGGAGGCTGCGATGGAGTGCTTGAGTGTGTTTGAACACTGACTGCTGCATGTCATTTTTCTCCAGCTGCTCTCATCTGTTTAAAGCTCTGTAGCACTGCATACATTTCCAGTCAGTATTTATGTTACGCGGTGCAGTCAGCTTGTGAACGTTTTCGCCTCCAAGGTGACGAGCTCTGTTATGTTTGTTCTTCGGAGTGGCGCGGCCTCGGGTTTAGAAGTGTACGTTTAAACAGTAAAGCTGCCACCGTGGTTCTAAGCCACGCAAGCGATGGGCCCTGACTAATTTCCTGCTACACGCTCGGCTCTGGTTAGCAGCGATTCTATAGATTTGTAAGCGCTGCACGTGCAGGTGTTGTTTTACTTGAATATTTCCTTTTTTCAGGCCTCATCCCCTCTGTGCACACCCAGCCTCCTCTCTTCCTGTCCCACTCTTTCTCTCTCCCCGTTGGAGTTTGTTTAGATGAAGCGATAGCGGGGAAGTATATTTAGGCACCATATATTCCACTGTCTGAACACTAAGCTCAGACAGGGAGCGAGAGTTAGAGCGACAGTGGAAGAGAATGAGAGGCAAAGACGAGTAGGAAGAAACAAATGGAAGATAAAGGCTAAATTTAAAGAAGACAGTTTGGAGCTGAGACGCGCTCGAGCGTGGCTTAAGGAGACGGAGAATGAGGGAGGTGATGAGGAAGGCAGAGAGAGCATGTGTGGCGACACGTATCCCGCTTTTAGCTCCCCCTCTCTTTTCTGTCACTGTCTCCAGTCTAATCTCTCAAAGATAACTATGACAGAGAGATGGAGAGAATGAGGGTGGAGGGAGAGAGGGTGGGAACGCTGCCTCTCTTTTTCCATCTCTTTCTCTCTCTCTCATTCTTTCTAAATATGTACCATATATCTTCTCATATCTCTCTGCAGTCATCAGATGGTAAACAAGGGGCACACCGAGGCTGAAAAAAGGACGGTTTTGCGCAGTTTGATGCAATTTGATTTTTTTTCTACCACCTTATGTCAACAGCAAACTTTTCTGATATATTGAAATCAGAATAAATTACAATTACAGCAAGACAATTAAAGGCTAGCCTTAAGAAATTAGTTCCAGGAATGAAAAGTATATAATATACAGTAGTATACTTCTTATTTATATAATATATAAGAACTATATTATACTATTCATCTATTTTTCAAATGTGCTGGTTTGAATATTTGTTAATGGCTGGTTATAAATAAGCTTTTTTCCCATTGGCATTAGATAGTTTCCATTCATCTAGTCTAGATCACATTGTCCTCAATGCGACATATGTCTGTAATAAGTTTTCCCCACTTGAAGCATCTCCTCCAACTCTGCCTAAGACCACATGATGTCCTCCATCATGTGGTCTTAGGCCTGCCCCTCTCTCGATTTCCAACAGGGATCCATCTTGGGACACGATGACATATTTTTGTACATGATAAAGTGTTTTATTTTGTCCTGTTTTCACTGAGAATTAATACAGTTTCTCTGAAAACTCTGCTGTGTCCCTTCATCGCTAAATCTGTTGCTGTTTAGTCTCTTCATCTTTAGTCCCTTGAAAAATTGTTTAAATTCCTCGAACTCCATGTTTACCTGTGTTGAAGGACTGCTGCTACAGTATCACAGTGTATTTATAAGCAAACTTATGCGCAATCTCCTGCCTTGTGTCTGTATAAAACTGTTAAAACATCAAGTCTAGATCAACTGTTTTGCTTTAATGCCCTCCTCACCACTTCCACCCACTTAGCGAGAGGAAATTCACTCCTTAATGCTGGAAATATGTGTTCCCTTTGTGGAAACATAAAAACCACAGATCTCGATCTGTACGTCAGCCCAAGCTTGAAATGACATTTTAACAGTCTACTTTAACTTGCCCTTATCTTCCAAGTGGAGGTTATTCATTAATATTTTTAACGACTTCTCATCTGTGATATGGTTTTCACCCCATGTTTCTCTCAGTCTGTGCAGTGATCATTGCAAAATGTGATCCCGGAGCCTTGGTTCCTTTAACAGGAACTACCACGAAGGTTTTGAGTACTTCGGCAGGTGTTTGTCCTTTCTGAACTCGATGGCCTTGCAGTCGTGCCAGATGCAGTCATGAAACTGTACAGGTGTGCAGCTGACATTAAAGGTTGAGTTTAAAGATAGCTGCTCTCTGGGCCATCGGGACTGAGTAAACGATGGTAGAGGTAAGAGGGCCACGTGGCCGTTCCCTCAACCCCAGTTATCACACATTTGTCACACATTCTTTTTCAGTTTAATGCTTTTTAAGTCACTTTTGAGTGATCTGGTGTACGGTGTCGCAGCTGCTTTGATCCCAGCACAAGATAGCTTAGTTTCCTGCTTGTGTGACACCTGGCTGAGCAATGTGGTACTCTGAGAGATTTGAGGACCCTGAAAGCATATGGATTTCCTTTGAATGTGTGTCATACGACACTCTTTGAATCCTCACAAGGTGAAAGCAGGGCGTTGGTATTTGACCTTTACCCTTTGTTCTCCGTTATCTCCTATGAACCTCATGACTTCGAAGGTGATGGAAAGCTCGGTTTACTTTCTGCTGATGTCATGACTTGGAGTGGAAATTTTTCCATTCTGCAACAGTGTAACCATTTCGCAGCACTGCTGTATTATCACAAACAACATTTGGTTGCATCATAAGATTAACGCAGGCTTTTGAAAATTCTTTTAAGAAGAAAATTATTTATCTGTATGCTGTTTTGACTGCTCCAGGCAAAGTGGCACGGTGTTCATATATGTACAGGATTTAATGGTTTTTACAGTTTCAGAAGACGAGAATTTTCCCCTTTAACCCCGAGCCCCTCCCTCCTCTCTTCAGCTACCTCTTCTTCTCATGGAGTGAGCTCATGTCATTAGCCCTGTTTCAAACAAACATGATCACAGGCCTGTACATTCACATACCCCTACAGCTTCTTCTTAAATAAACTGCCAAACAGTGGACCCAATCACCAGCCCTTCCTCTGTGTCTTGCTCTTCATTTTAAATGAAGATCTTAACCTTTTGGGAAACAGACCCATACTCTTTCTCCTGGGACTATGATGAGAAGTTGTAGGCTACATCATACATTTGAGGAAACCAGCAACTAACTTTGTCTGGAGTTTGGTTGTGGGTGACTGTTTTATTCCTTGGTGTTTTACATGCTGAATTACAGTAACTCTGAGTCTTTCATAAAATACAGGTTACTTACACACCCTGCAGTCTGAAAAAGCATCATGTTTAGGCACAAATGGAGGACTGAAGACGGTCTGCTGATGTTGTGCTCATGCCATGCCCTCAAATATATTAGTTCTTTTTCTTCAAAAAAAGCTCCTTATTTTCTTCACATTTTCCTTTTACCACTCTGCCCTGTGTAGTTTTCTGTATTCTCCACACTATTTATCTTCCCTATCCTCTCTGCACTGAATGACTTTCATTTTCTCTTTTACCTTGAAGCGGTGCCCTTTTTCTTCAGTTCTTCGACTCTGTGTTTCCACGCACACTTCGCCCTGCTGCGTGCATCCTTTGGGTCGCACTCATAAATCTTGCCTTTTTCAAGTTTAAGATTACACCTCTTTTCTGCGTATGTATCCGCTGGGAAGGTGCAGCCATGAACAGCGGGGAAATAGCTGATCACTCTCCCTCTCAGGGGTTACATGGTCTGGCCTTAGTTTCCTGACCACATGGAAAGACGTTCATCCTTCCAGCTGTTTCTTCTCCGTGGTTGTCAGAGAGAGAAAAAAACTCTGCGCACACACACACACACACACACACACACACACACACACACACACACACACACACACACAGAGTTAAGAAAAACATACATGCTGTCTAGTGACCCTGCTGCCCTGTGTTTCTGTGTTACAGTTGGGGCAGACAAGCAGTGCGAGCTGACCTGCAGACCCGCTGGCTATCGTTTCTACGTCCGTCAGTCAGAGCGTGTCAGAGACGGGACGCCCTGCTTCAATGTTAGCACCAATGATGTGTGTGTGGAAGGACAATGTCTGGTGAGTGGTTTCAAATGTGTGTGCGAGATTCCTTGTTTCACGTGTCTGAGTCCAAGTGTCTCCTGTCTCGAAGAGGTTGACAAAGCCCAGAATCTGGCTGTCTCAGTCTCACGTCTGGAAGCTGATTTAAACTGGCATTCAGAGTCAGGCTCTTTTTACGGCCCTTCTCGGGGCCTCTTGTCTTTGCATCTTTCCCTCTTTCTCTCATTTGCACTCTCACTCTCTGATTTTACCCTCGTTCCACCCTTCTGCTCCTGGCAGGAATCTAGCGAGCATCAGTTACCAATTTAAATAAGCAACGTTGAAATAAACACTGGCAATGGATGCGAAATGTCAACAAGATTGGACCCATTTTTCTCCATCCCCACCCCTTCTCTAACATCTCAATTGTTTCCCAGCCACATTTCCTTCATTGTCCGACCCATCACTCACATCTTTTCAACTCCTTCTCCTGTCAGACGGAGGGCTGTGACGGGGTGCTGGGCTCCGGCTCTGTGATTGACAAATGTGGAGTGTGTGGTGGGCGGGAAACATCCTGTCGAAAGGTGACGGGAAGCTTCCACAATACCACGGTTCCTCTTGGTTACCACAAGATCCTGGACATCCCACCCGGAGCCACATTCATCAACATCACCGAGAGACGAGCAAGCCCTAACTACCTGGGTAAGCTGAGTTGCACACGCACACATTCGGTTTAGGGTTTCTTGAATAATGCTGGCCTACAGCTCCAGTAAAAGTGAAATACTGGCGAGGATAGTGCAGATTTGGGAATGAGATTTGGCCCGTGATCGTGTGTGTGCTGGCTTTGACTGAGACCTGAGATTTTTGTGGTCTCACAGACTCTAAGCTAGCATTGTTAGAGCTCATAAAGAATCAGTCAAGTGTGTAGATTTCTGTGTGTGCGTGTGTTTCTTGTCAGCCTCCTGTTTGTTCACCACACAGCAGTCCAGGGTCTGTGTTTGTCTTTTTTGGGAATGTGTTTGAGCATATGGGGGGATTTTCTAAGAAGTCACCAGACTAAACAAGGTCCTAATAAGAAAAGAAAAATTCACCCCAGTTCTTCTGACATTCCCACTCCCTCCTCCCTTTTTCCAGCCATGAGGAGTGGAACAGGAGCTTCCGTGGTGAACGGACGTTGGGCTGTGGACCCCCCAGGGGAGTATCAAGCAGGGGGCACTACCTTCACCTACACCAGGCCTAGAGCACAGGCGGAGGGGGAGGAAGCAAAGGGCGAGTCCCTCTGGGCACCAGGACCCACAAAGACACAGCTACAGCTATATGTAAGTTCTGAAAGCACACATGAACCAGCACTACAAAATTACGATTTACTCAGAGAAACATGTATACGTACAGAATATTTCTCTAATATATCTTCATGTCACTGTTTTGTGCCCGAAGCTGTGTTCTTCTGCTCTGTGTCAAGATCCTCCAAGGAGACGGAATTATTTTAGTATTGTGGCAGGATAAAGAAGGATATACTAAAGCTTATCCTGAGCCACCTGAAACTATCCAAGGCTTAATAATAACAGCGCTAACCTCGGGCTAAAATCTTATTAAAGATCAGGAGTCATGTGTAGCTTCACATCCAGTAACATCAGGATCAGAGGAGGTAAAGAAAATAGCTCTGGTTTGATCTCCCCAAGAATCACCAGCATTTTTAAGGTTTAGCGGGATACAAAAAGTAAGATATAAAAAGATTAAAACGCTGTCACCATGGCAGCGGCACTGTGATGCCGTGTAGCTCATTGCATGCTTGTTAGATGGATTAAGAATATGTGCTCCCTCTAAATCCTTGCCAGTGTTGCAAAATAAATATATAAATAAATCAACTTTTTGGCACACCCTGTAAATTTGAGTTAACACACAGACCACAAACTAAAATGCCTCACTCCAAGAACTTTTTTTTTCCTCCACTCACAAGGGCACTCCAAGTAGAGGGGGAGAAAGGCCCCAAATGTCCTCTTTTTTTTAAGTCACGGGTTGTATCCCTGTTTTAAATACACCTTCCAATATTAGGAAAAAATAGTCAGTGGTGTCTTAGGCAGTAAGGCACTGAGGGACCTGTCCGAAGGGAGGCCATGGAGTGGCACTGAAACCACTCCATGTTTTCTATATTGTGCTATATTATTATAGATAATGTTACGCAGAATTAATAAAGTCATTAAATCATCTGCTTTTCCAAAATTAAGGTAAGTGCATGACTGATTATAATCCAGTAATTGTAATCCAATAATACGATACATTTAATTTTGTATAATACTTATATTTAAATAAGCAATACTTACCTAAGTAATAGGTCTAAATGTTTGTTTCACCATTTGTTAAATAGCTATTCAATATTAAATGTTTTACAGTCACAGAGAGCTCCCTTTCCATGTAACACATCTTTATTAAGGCCCTGCACATGAGCATGAAAACTTACCTTACATTTTTAACTTCATATTTCCTGCCACCTCATTGTAAAAAAAATCCCAGAAATGCCTCTGACAGCACTCGATTTTCCATCACAAGGCCAGCTGTTTGACTTTAGGACCCAGGTGGTAATTTAGTATTTTGTGAATGAATCCTGTGTTCTTGAATGAGGGGGTTAAGGAAAAGCCAACTAGAGCCAACTGAGCAACTAGACAGCAAAGCATACTCTAGCACGGAGACTGAAAGCTAGGGGAAACAGCTCTGACTCTTTTCAAAAGCAGCCAAATCAAATGTCTCGCACCCCTAAAACTCAGACATTTAGATCTTGTTTGTTTAACACAGATAAAACACCAAAAGGTTAAATGACGTGGGTGTATTAATGGTGATACAGCAGCTATATATTTAAATCTGAACTTTTCAGTTCATCTCTAAATCATCCTTCTAGGAATTAGGTGTCAGAGTTTGTTTTGTTGTTGTTTTTTTTAAAAAAAGCATATTTTGACTCTTAGCACTTCCAGATGAATTTCACTCTGCAAGCAGATGTGACGCCGCCAAACTAAAGCAGTGACTGAAGGCCCTCAGGATCAGTTGCAAAGTATAGCAGATCAAAATGTTTTTGAAATGAGACCCCTGCTGATTAAGTCTAAATGACCTTGACTAGATTATATCTCATATATAAGACTGTAGGATTATGTAGGGGGTGGGTTCTTGAGCATGATATCAAGCTCCTGCCAGTTCATCCTGACCTCTGACCTGTAACAAGAACATTTCTCTGTGGGAATCAATAATGCGATTTTCAGGCATTTTTTTTCACCCTCTTCCTTGGCTCCGTTTTGCTCTTTAGATAATCTTCCACAAGGACAACCCAGGCATTGACTATGAGTATTACATTCCGGTTGAGAAAAAAGAGGGAGAGACCGAGAGGCTAATGGAGAGAGAGCGGGAGACGCCCAGAGAGGCACCCAGGGAGAGACCAAGGGAGCGAGAGCCAGCGAGGGCACCCCTTCGCAGTAAGTCTATGACACCCCGGCTTTCTGACCTCCTCTCTTCTGTTTGACAACCATATTTTCTCTATGCTGTGTACAGTAGCCTAGATGGCAGCTTTCCCAGCAGTCATGTGCAGCACATAGCTGAACCGTGTCAATGTGGAGCTCTCCAGACTCATTCTTTCCAAGTTACTAAAGGAAACATCACTGTAATGCAGATTCTGGGAGAATGACTGATGTCTTTATGGTTTATGATGGGTGTGGTTGTGGGCCAAATGGGAGGGATTATTTCACGAGTGTGTTTGTGTGTGTTTGTGTGTATTTGTGTGCGTAGATGACCTAGATGGGAGGCTATCTGATCCATATGTTGGCTGTCATGAGATGCTGACCTCGTCATGACATCATTAATGT